AACGAATTTTTCTCGACACTGGGGAATTTTATGTCTTTCGAATTGTGCTAACGTGGAAATAGCGCGAAAAAATTTGAGCGACTTCTAACTTCGAAAGTGGAATTTAATTAATCGATTTTCCAGCGGTATAAACACTTTGCTTAAAAATCCAGCTCTCTCAAATTGGGTAAATTTTATCAAACAAGCAGTAATCAAAGGTTGTTCTTGAAATTCAAAGATCAGTTAGGGCATATATTTTTTCTGTAACATTCGAAAGTTTTTTTGTTCCCTTCGTTCAATACTCTTTTCCAACTGTCAGTTGGCTATGTTTGTCTTTGAATTCGAAAGTGGAAGTTTTTTATCCTTTAGTCCGATTTTGTTCTGGTATCCTTGAGTTTTTTCAACATTTGTCAACGGTCTGTTAGCTGCGTTCTAAAATTTTGATTCTAACTTCTCCCCAGAACAGTAGAATACGGTTTAATTTGATATCAGAAGCTTCAAGTTTGCGATGAGCTTTCTTTTAGGCTCAGCTGGTGTCTACCCAAGTACTATCGGCTTAGTTACCGCTTCGTATTTTTCGCTCCAATGCTAACTCTAGGGGGCAATTGTTTTTCTTAATTATTTCTCTTGTTCTGAAAATGAAGTTTTTATTGATGCGATTGTTGATTCAGACTACAATTGATGGTGATGAGAAAATAAACTTCTGAAATGAATTATTAACACGAATTATTTACACTCTGCATCAAAAATCGTAGTGTTTGTCTTGTTGTTTAAAAGAGAGATTATCTGGATTTCAATTTGCTTGTTTTTTAGTACATCAAGCTTCGAGTGATTGATGATTAGCTCATGATCGATGCAGTTATCCTGAAGTTTTTTGCAATCTGTTACGTATTCATTTCAGACTTATTTTAGTTAAATTAACGATAGGTGCATCGAATATGAGCTACTCTTCAATCACTCGAGGCGTAACGCTTGATGTGTTGAAACAAGCAAATAAAAAACAAGCTTAGCAGTTGATGTGTTGAAACGGCGTTCTCGCAATGAGATTTCGTTTGATTGTAAATGTAGTAACTTTTACAATGAATGGAATCTAATTTGCAAACAATTTATTATGATTATTATTATTAAAAGAAGATTTTGCTTCCATTTAAAAAAAATAAGATAAACACTGATTGTTGATGCTGAGAAATTGAATTTCACTAATTTTTGTCAGACCTTCTTTTTCTGAGTATCAACACTCGCAGTGTCATCGGCAGAAAGAGTTATAATTGATAAGTGTGATACGAACTTGTTCTAAAATAGACATACCATTTCATTTCCGTGCCAACTATTTTGTATGCCAACTTTGTTTACAAACGCGAAGTATTTTTTTCAATTCATATAACTTATGATATAATTCTACTTTTAACCCAAAAGCTCGTTGAAGTATTGTTTTATGCTATTCCTTTTTTATTTTTAATGCTATTTTCGAAAGAACAGGCATGGGTAATTAGAACCCAATAGTGGTTTTGATGAAAGCGTGGAGCCTCAGTTGCGGTTTTGGCTTTCCAATGTCTTTCCTCTGCTCTAGTACCGCCACCTGTTGGAGTTTTGTTGGATAGCTCTTTCTTGTCTCCCCTCGCTGTTTTTTCTCTACCGTCGCTCTCTCTCTCTCTCTCTATCCGCTCTATCTCCTCTCTCTCTCTCTCTCTCTCTCTCTCTCTCTCTCTGTGTGTGTGTGTGTGTGTGTGTGTGTGTGTTTGAGTGCGCGCGCGCGTGTGTGTGTGCGCGTGTGTGTGTGTGTGTGTGTGTGTGCGCGCGTGTGCGTGCGTGTGTGTGGGTGCGTGTATGTGTGTGCGCGTGCGTGCGTGTGTGTGTGTGCCTGCGTGCGTGCATGTGTGTGTGCGTGCGTGCGTGTGTGTGTGTGCCTGCGTGCGTGCGTGTGTGTGTGCCTGCGTGCGTGCGTGTGTGTGCCTGCGTGCGTGCATGTGTGCATGCGTGTGTGTGTGTGCGTGCGTGTGTGTCTGTGTGTGTGCGCGTGGGTGTGTGTGTGTGTGTGTGTACGCGCGCGTGTGTGCGCGCGCGCGTGTGTGTGTAAGCGCGCGCTTGTGTGTGTGTGTGAGTGTGTGTACGCGTGTGTGTGTGTGTGCGCGTGTGTGTGTGTGTGTCTCCTTAGTAGTGTAGTAATCCGCCATAACTCCAACGGGGGGGGGTTACCCTTGTTAAATCAAACCCGCAACTGGGGCTCCAAGCTTCTCATAACCTCAATTGGAGGTCCAACCACCGATACTTGTGTTGCGAGGGAAATCAATTAGTATTTAGAAAATAGAATGAGTCTTGCATTCAACTCTGCCATGACCTAGATACATTGAGGCTCGTATGAATCAAACAAACTGGTCGAAATAGTGAACTTGGTGTAAAAAGTAAGTTGAGAAAGGCGAGAAAGTTGGAATTCCAGTTAATCGATTGGGAAGTGGGACGTTTTTAACGTGTTCATCAAGTGTGACGTTCATCACATTCATTTTTGGCAATAGAAGGATTATTTAACCTCCTGACCGATGAAAATAACATTATATTTTTGTGCTTGGAATTTGAAAGGAGTGTGTCAATTTATAGCAAAATCTATGGATGAATTTGAGCGAATTCTCCTTTAAACTTCAATTACCCAACAATTTTGATAGATACCTAATGCATTTACATCATTATTACTCATTCATAAAAGAGCAATAAATTTAAGTGAAGTTCGGTCATTCTTAACTTAATATATTTTAGGAACAGATGAAATCATGGCAAAATGAGAAAAACTCGATAAAGCTCAATAAGTTTTTGGAATAAAACAAATTCAGCAGCAATATAACTACACGCGTGTAAAAATAGTTGTAGGGCTCACCTTCAAAAAAATGATAGCGTATAAAAGTTGTTTTTCTTAAACATTCAATGGCCTCTCGTGTAAACAAATTATGGCAAAACAAATGTTACAATTAGATGACAAATTTCTCTAAACAAGATAACTTGGGCGTGAAATTTGAACCAAGTAGGATCAAATAATTAAGCAGTAAATTTTAAATATTGGGCAATTTTTATCTATTATTTAAACGCGAAACATAAAGGAAGAGAAGAAAACGTAAATAAGGTCTAACACTTGAAGAAGTTCAATTGAATAGTATAGGCTGTCAATATTGAGATTTTTTCAGTGATTTCAATCAACTCATCGGTTCAGTGAAAATGAAATAGGATGACACATTGCGTAAGCAGAAATTTTTCTGGGGGAGGACAGTTGTTGAAAATTTTGCCGATCTTCTTTTTAGGCCGACCAAATTTTGTGCGCCGCAGACAAATTTTTCAAATAACAGGCCAAAATGGCGTTTTCTCGGTGCGCGATCGCCCCAAAAAGTTAGTCAATATTGGCGCCTTCAGAAAAATTTTGAGGTTGCTCAGCCAAAAATGGATGTAAACTTATACCAAAGGGGGACCATATAGACAAATTTGGCAACCAAAATTGAGGGGGGGGGGGAGTGGCGGTCGCACATCGGCACTCTACTGAGATGATATTATACAAAACAAATGGATACCTATCTACTTATTTAACCACTCGCCTATTAGGATGGATTCAGGTTCAACACTTACCGCCCACTAATTGGAAAGCCGAAAAAATTAAATGGTTAATGTTTTTTTTACTTGCGATAAGCAAGGGTTTTTCAATTGGACACTAGACTTTTTACCGTGAACAACTTTGTCCACAGGACTCATTAGACTACTGGTGGTACCTTGGTTCATAATGAATTCAAATTTAGTAGTGTCTTTTGCGCACTTAGCGTGATGGTATTGAATACACCTGGAGCGATAAAGGTCCTGAGTTCAAATCTGACCAGGGCCGAGCGAAATTCGCTGTTCACATTGGTTTTAACTTTACCAGATCGATTTGTTAAAATTTCGTTTTTTTTTGTCTTTTTATCGGCTTAATAATTTTCGACTGTATTAAAATCGACCTAATGGTCTCTTATTGTGTCGTTACGACCGAGGAAAGTTTTTCTGTTCTGTGCTCTGATGGGAAAAGGGACTCTGATGGTATTGAATACACCTGGGGTGATCAAGGTTCTGAGTTTGAATCTGACCAGGACCAATCGAAATTCGCTGTTCACATTAGTTGTAATTTTACCAGCTCGTTTTGTAAAATTTCACTTTTTTTCATTTTTTTTTGTCTTTGTCTTCTTAATAAATTTCGACTGAATTAATATTGACCTAGTTGCCTTTTATTGCATCGTTACGACCGAGAAAAATTTTTTGCGCGTTTGTGTGCTCTGATGGGAAAAGGGACTTAACATTTTTAAAATAAATTGAGCGTTTTTTGAATTTTCGTCCTGAAGGGTTTCTGCTCAGGTTTTTTCGGCTTTGTCACCGCTAGGTTATTATAAATTCAAATCCGATCACATATCTGGCGTAGAGATGAAACAGCTGCTTGAGACGGCAAAGATTTGCGGTTTGAATCCTGCCGTGCCCTTTTTTTCAAACTAGAAGGGTTGTGCTTTTTCTGACTATCGTCCGTCTGTTTTTTTTGTCGGCTTAGTTCCCGTAGCTCGATGTTTGGCAATTTTTATTGACAAAAACGCGCTTTTTGAGTTTTTTTCGTTGGTTTTTAATCATAGGCATTCATATCATAGCTCAGCTTCGCCTGTGTAAAAAGCTTTATATTTCGATTAATAAAACCACAACATATGAGTAACATCTTTAAAAACAGACACTAAATTTACACTTAAAAACACAAACTTCAACTAAAGCTATTTGTTGCGACCGCTTCAATCCATCTTTATTGGCACTACACAAATAATGCAACCTAATACCCAATAGATCACCGGTCAAAAAACTGAAATTCTACAATTTTTTTAGGCAATTATTTGACCACTAGTTACGGCGCTATTAATCATATAATTATGTTTCTTCACTCTGTATGTGTAAAACTTTTCAAAACCAATTTTTTTGAGAAATGAAAAAAAACTCACTCTCAATCACTCGCTCTTGATCTCCTCTCTCTTTGATTTCAGCTACAACAGCCCAGAGTACTGTATTGCATTCCACGCCCTGGCAGCAGCTGGCCTCACCATCACCACGTGCAACCCAGCCTACACGGTGGAGGAGACACAGCACCAGTTGAGGGACAGTGGTGCCAGGGCAGTGTTCACTGTGAAGGAGTACCTACCCAAGGTAAAGGAGATATGTGAGGCACTCACACCTCACTGTCGACATGTGTGGCTCATGGACCAGGATGCCACACAGGCCGATATTGCAGGTCAGTCATGTTGCTCAAAAGTTTACTTCGTACTTAAGGTAAAGCTTCTCCTATATGGGGAGCTGCGAGGGAGCATTTCGTGCAAGGGGTGAGCGATTTTGATGGTTACAGAGAGTTCGCAACTGGACGAATAAATAAACACAGAGAAGAATAACGACTGAAATAAATGTGAATGCGTAAGAAATTAATCTGTTAATAATAACCTAGCAAAGTTCGATAAAAACGAGGTTTTTTGAAATTTTTTTTGGGTATTTTGGAAGATTCGAATCCGTGTAAAACTTTTCAAAACCAATTTCCCCCTCGGATATCTAGTAGCCAATCTAGTTAATGAGATACAGTTAATGAGATCCTCTTGATATTTCAAAACAGTCAGTTAAGATAAGATGAATGAAAATGTTCCGAAAGTTATACGAACTTCACGTGGAAAAGTAGCCCGAAGATTAAGACCTAGTTATCAGGATCATCTGATCTTCGTATTCGATAAGTTCCCTCATTTAAAAAGGCCGTGGAAAGTATGCAAATTTCGCCAAAGCTAGTTTGAAGTTCGCTTGGCCCGAATGATTAATATATTGTAGGGTTTAACTCGTTGAACGGGGAGTTGTTCAAGGAGCTTTTGGATGACGACGGATCCGTTTTCTGCAACCGACCCAAGAATATCAACCCCAAGCAAGACGTTCTAGTCATTCCATACTCCTCGGGAACAACAGGGCTAGCGAAGGGCGTGATGCTGACCCACTACAATCTGATCGCAAACCTGTGCCAGTTGAAACCGAGTAATTTGCTCCGGCTGGACTACAAACATGACTCACTCATTGCTATTCTGCCTTTCTTTCATATTTACGGAATGGTTGTCATTATGTCTCTGGCGCTATATCAAGGTAAATTTAGTTTATGCTCAACAATATAAGATGCGAAGGCTGACTGAGGAGTCTAATTGAATCAGTGACTTCCTAACTGAAATATTCGTACGACCAGGGGCGGATTTAGGGGGGGGGGGGGGGGGCGGACGCCCCCCCCCTTCAGGGATTCGACCCCCTGCCGACCCAAAGGGTCCCCCCTTTGATACTTTTTCAGAAATCCCTTTTTGGCCGACCGACCCTTGAATTTTTCTAAAGGCGCCTTCGGCGCCAATATATACTAACTTTGAGGGGGAGCGCGCGCCAAAAAAACGCTATTTTTTTGTCAAAATTTTTCAAAAAGTGCCCAAAAACGGATTTTTTTGACTGTTTTTTCAAAAATTTGCCTGCGGCGCAGAAAACTTTGCCACAATAGGGGCAAAACAGTGCTTTGGGAGAGCTCGAAAAATCAATTTGGTCGACCTAAAAAAAAAAAAATGTCGTCAAAATTTTGGAAAATTTTTTGAAAATCCGCCCCCCCCCCCTCGAGAAAATCCTAGATCCGCCCCTGCGTACGACCCTTTTCGTCTTATTGTTTTAAGCTTGTAAAATTCAAGAAATATGGAAAATGAATTGAATAGAAGCGTGTTTTTCTGCACATATTTAGTTTTTGGCTCTTGCGCTGAGCGACAAACATTGGCTCTTTTTGAGTTTTTTGAATTACGAATTTTTTCGATGAGCTACTTCAAGTCGTGCTAGCTACCAATGCGAGAATATGTGTCTCCCTAGTCTTCAATTGTTTTCATTTTTTTTTCGACGGAAAAGTATCAAATAAAATTTTTGGCTGGGCAATTTACCCTTGCGATTAGCAAGTGTATTTGCAACTGGACTAGACTTTTTCCGTGAAAAACGTTGTTCACGGGACATTTTGCAGGACCCCTCGGCTTAATTAATTAGTATATCAAGTTCCAGATACTGATTTCGCTCGTCTAGTCACGTAATTACGTCCATGCTATGGACGGCAAAGGTCCTGGATTCAATTCTGGTCAGGAGGAAATTTGTTTACAATATGAATTTTTTATGCGAAAAATGTAAATATCGGACTATTGGCTGTCTTTTGATTTTTGTCGGCTTAATTTACAAAGCCTGGGCTTTACTTCTGATTTAAGCCGTTTTTAATATAATTGAAGTCATTGGTTCATTTCTGTATTTGTTATTACCCACCCCTTAGTTTGTATTATCTTTTTTTTTCTGTTTTGCTTAAAAGGTTTAATCAGCCTAAATAGTTTTGGCTGTTGTTATCTCGGCTGAGCCACCCTATATTGCACCATTTTAAGGACAAATTGTTTTTTAATGCTTTTATTCATTTTTGTACAGAATTTCGAAAATCCATTGCTCGTAACTTTTTTGTTCATTTTAATGTTTCCCAATGGTTGAAATAATTATCCACTAATCCTGTTTTCTCACATTGGCCTAGTTAAAGTGAAAAATTGTGTCAAAAAAAATTTTGAAATGGAAAGAGCTTTCAGTTGATAATTTAAAGCTGTACAGTTTTCAAATAAAACTGCTTTGTTTGCTTTTGGTTTCTATGAGTTGATTGACACTATCTTATGGCCAATTTTGTGTCTTTTATGTCCGCAGGGGCGAAGGTGGTGTCGATGAAGAAGTTTGAGCCGAACAGTTTCCTGGCAGCTGTGCAGAAGTACAGAGTGACTGTGCTGCCTCTGGTGCCTCCAATTGTGCTGTTCCTGTGTAAGAGTCCACTGGTGAAAGACTACGATCTGTCCTCTGTTCGAGAGATATTCAGTGGGGCTGCCCCCTTGGGCAAGGAGCAGGCGGAAGAGGTGACGGCCAAACTGGGCATCAACTGTCTCAGACAAGGTCAGTGTTGCTCCTCCTTTGAGGACTACTCTCATGCGCGAAGGACCGAATGGGCGAAAATTTTTGTGGGTCAAGGACCAAAGACAAAATTAGCCGAAAGTCAATTTTTAGAAAGAAGCAATTGCCATTCAATTAAAATGAAGCAATATTTTGCTTCTTTCATAACGAAACCCTTGAAATATAAAACTTGTCCCAATTCGGCGCCTGTCAGTGACAATTTGAAAATTTTGCGTTTTTCTGCCATTTTATACTCGGTCAATATCAAAACTCTGGAAATGTTTTCTTTCTTTCCAAATTTCAGATTACTGAAATCTGATTGGCTAATTTTTATTTTTGCGCATTCGGTCCTTCGCGTATGAGGGATTCCACCCCTCCTTTCGCATGTCTGTCTGTTGGAAGAGTAAACATGCGCAACCACCATTAAAATGTAGCCATTAAACCAATATGGGCGCCATTGAACGCCTCACAATGGCTAATTTGAGAGAGACTGTTCAAACGTGAGGCCATCACAGATGCTCAATTCTAATCATTTCACTTGCGAGAGCAAGTACAGACCTGATTTAAATTATCCGGACAAAATGAACAAAAATTGAACTTTGAAACACAAGTTTCTCAAATTGCGTTAAGGTTAGACAAAAAAATGAAGAGAACAAAAGTTGCTTAGAATTTATTCAAAATTATTAGTGCAATTTTTTCTTCGAAATTCTCAACCAAAATTTTACCCCAAAAATTGGTCATTTTGGCTTTTTTCAATTAATCAATAATTACGCTGAAACTGCCTTGTTAATTGATAAGAAATACATATCAAACGAAGCCTTTTACACAGCCCAATAAAGTTTTAGAAGAGTTAAATCTCCGAAAACCTGTATAAGAGAAAATATTTTAGCTTGATAGTCAAGAAAGGTGATTTTTACAATATAAATCCTAAATCTTTGCTTAAAAACAAATTTTACACAATTTAGTCAAATTTTTGGAGATTTAATCCTTCTAGACTTTTGTTGGGCTGTGTAAGAGGCTTCTTGTGATACATATTTCTCATCAATTAACAAATTAGTTTCAGCGTAATTCTTGATTAATTGAAAAAAGGTAAAATGACCCATTTTTGGGGTAACATTTTGGTTGAGAATTTCGGAGAAAAAATTACACCATATTATTCAAATGAAATTCTAAGCAACTTTTGTTCTCTTCACTTTTTGTCTAATCTTAACCCAATTTGAGAAAAACGTGTTTGAGAATTCAAGTTTTATTCGTTTTTACGGGATAATTTAAATCAGCACTGTATAGCTGTAATCGTGAACTAGAATTTTTCATGAAATAACTTTTCTTAAAATTTAAGAAATTGACCTTGCTTTGGTGTATAAAAGTGATGGGTCTTTGTCAATTTTTGTTCAAGCTCAACTCTTTTTCTTTTTTAAGAGGAAGGCAGACTCCACTATTGAACAATAAAAGTGTACAGGTATCGGTAAACGTGATCGACTTCAAGTTTCGAAAGTGGATTTTAGTTTTCAGATTTTTCAGCGGATTAAAAAGTTTACGTGTTGATCCAGTTTTCTCAAATTGGGTTAAAATTGAGCGAAATTGTTCTTGAAGATCTAAGAGCTTGAAGGAGTTATTTTCTTTAAATTCGAAAGTTGTTGTTTTCTCAAAAACGAGTCAGTCGTGTTTTTCGATTCCCTTGCGTTCATTGACATTTTTCAATCGAAGGTTGGCTATGTCTCGGCTTAAATCAATTTGGATGTATGTTACACCGGCTTAGTTTTGTTATATTGCTTCGTTTCAAGGCCAAAAATAGGTTTTATGCTTTTTTGTGCTTCAGAAGAGGCATGGACGGTTACAAAACGATTTCGTGAACGGTTTTATGAACGATTTCGTTTTCGGTCAATAGGCGTCTGCCCAAGTATTGTCGGCATACTTACCGGTCGGTAATTGATTCTGAATGCTTTTGTGACAAGTAATTTTTTTCGGTTTCAGTCTCATTTTCTATCCTCTATCGTGCAATGAAATGTTTGTGTATCTAAGTGTTGCGAAGCTCCGCTTCGCCTCTGTGTTTGATCGTGGGACAAATGGAAGTTATGTTCCTAAAATGATGTGATGCTTGATTTTTGTATTTGTCAGGCTACGGGATGACGGAATTGAGTCCGACGTCCCACTTCCCCCCTCGAGATGCTGGTCTGAGACATGGCTCAGGTGGCATGACTTTGCCCAACACAGAGTGCATGATAGTGGACACCGAGACAGGCCAGTCACTCTCAGTCGGACAGGACGGTGAAGTTCTTGTCAGGGGACCACAAGTGAGAACAACGATAATGCAATTAAATGATTGACAAGGTGGTTTCGTGAGCGGTTGAGCTGCTCAAACTAATCAAATGCTGTCAAAGGATAAAATAGCAAAAAAAGATAGTCGAGAGGCGGAACTATTTTCCGGTTGACAGAACAACCGAGCTTCTGGTCGCAAGGTCACATAATTCATGAATTGGTTGACCGGCAAATAAATAAATAAGATTTTCGATTCGCATTTCTTAGCGTTTTGCTAGCGTAGTTTTACACTACCAGTCTACTTTTTTCCAACGCAAGTCAAGCAGTTCTTGTAAAGTTTTATGCAAGGTGTATCGAAACAATAGTCTTTGAGGGATATTTAGAGTCAATGAATGCAGCGAAGGCATTTATTTAGGGCTTGTCTTTTTGGCTCTTTTTTATTGCAGGTGGGGGAAAGCAAGTAGAACCTTCTTCAGGAAAAAGTCTTAACGGAGTGTAGTTAGTCAATTACAAGATTATCTGTTTTTTTTTTTATAAGTTTAGGAATTTTTTGGTCGAAACCTCTGTTTGTGCGATCATTTCCCTTCGCTAGTAATGCAAATCAGTTATCGGAGTTTTGCTTTAACTGCAATGATTTAAATATTGCAGTTCTTTGGTGAGTTTTATAAGCCGAGGATATTTACTGCAGTTCTGGTAATTTTTTTGGAAATTTTTTAGCCGGAGATGTTATTCCGGAGCAGCGAAATTAAATTTATTTATTATTTTCTATTTCGTCGTACAGGAAAGCAATGAATGTAGAAATCTGTTTTGAATGAACCAAAAGTCTTTTGTTATCTGATTGCCACCGTTTGACAAGAAACCCAATAAATTCCACTGATTTTAAATGATTGGAGCGATTTGAATTATTTCATTCGAAGTTGTGGCAGGCATGTTTCCAGTTTTTTTGTGAAGGTAAATATTAAGTGGTGCTCAAAATTCATTCCAAATTGGTGTGAGGAAAGTTTTTGGGCTAACTGATGCATTACAAGTTCTAAATATATTTAAAAACGAATCGAAAAAAAATGATTGTTAAAAGGCTGTCTTTTTGTTTTTTGAAGTTTTCTTTGCATGCATAGCTATGTTTTCTTTTGTAGTTTTTGGAGTAGCTCGTGTTTGCGGATTGCAGCTTTGCCTGTGTTGGCTATTCGATAATTTTTAGGTAATGAAGGGCTACTTGAACAATGAGAAGGCTACAGCAGAAACTATCAAGAAGGACGGCTGGCTCTGCACCGGTGATATCGGACACTTGGACGAGGATGGTCATCTTTTCATCACGGACCGTTTGAAGGAGCTCATCAAATGCAAAGGATTTCAGGTAACTCAACCAGATTTTACATAACTTGAACAATGAGCATCTTGAACGTTCTTTAATATCTAACATATTAAAATACATAGTCTGGTTTGAATTGAATTGAAAACGAAACTAAAACCTAAATTCATTTGCTAAAATTTAACGCAATTTGCAAAAGGTCAAATGGCACGAAAAGGTTGGATTGACTTTTGTTTCAATTCTAGTCATCATTTACTAGTTTCAATTCTTAAAAAACCATTTGATCCAGTTCTCAAATTAGGTCCGTTTTATCAAAATTTTTTGGTATTGAATCCGTTGACGTTTCACCAACTCTGTTGGCTTTGATTCCATCGTCTCTCACGAATAGTTTGATAATTCATGTCTTCTAAGATTTCTAAGAAATTGACGTAGTTTTATTATCGAACGTGAGCACTTTCCAGACCAGACACCATCCCACTTGGCCTGGAGGTTATACAGTGACCTTTGCATCCTATGGTCTGAGGTTTGGGTACTGGCCGGCCTGACCTTGTTTTTTTTTCAGTGTCTGAATTGAAAACTTTCCGGTAAAATTTGAATAGGCGGACTATAGTTTGTCGGCTGATGTTTTGCCGACTTAGTTGACACACCACGGATTTTTTTGCGCTCATTGTAGTCTCAAGTGACCTGTAGTTTGTAAAATTATTACCCTGACAGGTATATTTTTCCCTTTGAATTTTTTTGTCGCTTAGAAATTTTGTTCGGCCTAAATGATTCCGGCTTATGATTTATCTGTGTAGTGAATTTTTTTTCTATCGGGTTGGGGGCAAAAATGATTTTTTGTATACACTTGCGAGTAGCAAGCGTTATCAAATCGGAATGTAGACTTTATTTGGGTTAACAACTAGTTTAAAAAAATCATTCGAACCACTTCTCAACTTCAGCTGACATCAATGCAGCTGGCATGCTCAATTTCATGAAAACTCAGATGTAACTGACTTGCTAAATTTCATGAAAATTCAAATTTAACTTCTGGGTGGGTTTTAGTTAAAACCCATCCTGTAGGTTGTCTTGATTGGCTAGGTTGCCTAGAATTCCTCCTTGATAAACCAATTTTAAAAAAAATGTATCCATAGAAAGATCGCCTATACCCTTGTGTGCCTGCATACTACCCTGATCTCTTTTTGCTTAATCGATTTGTCTACAGCATTCGAAAAAGTGTGAGGGGAATAATTGACCAATATTTTTAATTTTTTTTCGTTTTCTCTCCATTAGCAGCGCTCCATTTTTCGTTAAGCTCCACTCCATTAGCAGCTGCGCCCAAATTTTTTTACACTTAAGTTTATGGCCCTCGGCATAGTCAAATTTCTGATTTTTTTTTCACCGTTTTTTTGAATATTTTTGACTTTCCTCAAAAATTAACCTCTCAAACCTTATGTTGCGGATTCAATGGTGATAACTGATATTGGGAAGCTCCCTTGAATTAGCGGCCGCTCACAAATTTTTTAAAGCGTAAAGTTTTTGTCCTCAGAAAAGTCAGTTCATGATTTTTGAGCGTTTTTTTTCTAGTTTTTATGAGTTGTAACGAAAAAAAGCCTCCCATCTCTTGGATTTTGAGTTCAATCCACAGAACGGGTTGTGGGAAGCTATTTTGCATAACCGTCTTCTTCCATCTTTTTTCTGACACAAAATATTATGGTCTTTGGCAGTTTTTTTGGAAAATGTTTGACAGTTTTTCGAAATTTTTTACTTTTCTCGAGAGCTAACCTGCCAAAACTGTATTTATGGCTTCAATCGAAAGTAAAAATTTGGTGGATAAGCGGCTACGTTCAAATTGTAAAGCAAAAAGCTATGATTCTCAGAAACGTCAACTTTCTGATTTGTTGACCGTTTATTGGACTTTTCTCGATAACTATCCTGCGAAATCTGATATCAAAGGTTTAATCGACAAAACAGGTTGTTGGAAGCTTACCTTTATAATTTGCTACAGCAAGTTTCGTTTAGAAAGAATTTATTGCCTTCAAACAAGTGAAACTTTTGAAACTTGATCGTTTTTTAGGCTTTTTTTAAATTTTACTCGAAAATTATGATTAGGTTAAGAAAACAATTAGGTTTAGTGCTTAATCGAGAAACTCGATTTTGGCAATCTTCGCTGCATTAGGAGCCACGACCTGCTTTGAGCAGAACAAAGATACGGATTACGGAAAGTCAAGTTTTTGATATTTGAACGTTTTTTAGAAACTTTTTGAACGTTCTTAGAAACAACCCTAACAAGTCTGAGGTGAAAAGTTCAATCGAGAGAAGCGATTGCGCATTTTTTTTCCTGCAAAGCGGCTGCTCCTTAACTTTTTGTTAGAAAAATGTTATGTTTTTGGACCAGAAACTAAATGTAAGAGAAAAATCCAAAATCTAAAATTTGTTCATTCTACTTGATTTAGTCGACAAATAATTAAGGTTTTGGGCTAAGTCCAATTTATGAAATCACCCATTCCGTCCTGAATCAGTATAGCAAAATAGGAAACACGTACCTCCAGCTTTAGCTGGGCTCTAGGTGTCTTTCATTTTGGTTCACCTAGTTTATTTCAACTGGTGATTTTTTTTTTGGAAAAAATCTTGAAATGCTCTAATAACTACCACATACATAGTCATGCATTTATGAATGCACTTAGGTATGTATGAACTTTTTGAATTCAATTTAAATTCAAATTGTCTGAATTGTTTTCGCCCGAATTGCTATGCGCCGAAAAATAAAACATGCTCAGGGGGGAGGTCCAAAAATTTTAAACTTGTTCCTAAGTCGAAAAGGGGGAACTGTTAAGTACATCCGAACCGTAGAGCATGAATTGTTTATAAAGCTATCAAAAATTTTAGGTAGGAATTAATTTTGAAAATGCAAAAATTGAACTATTAGCAAATCGGATAAAAAACGAGCCAGTCTGGAAGACCACGTGAAAATATGTGGTTCTAATACTTTTAACAATTTTTCAAAAACTTGGCCCATTAACTGACACATTGAAAACCACGTTTTAATAATCGTCGTTCTGTTTTTCCCTGAGATAGATTTAAATCAGCAGCGAAAATTAAACGTGGTGAGTCATGCTATTTGTTCCAAAAGGAACTCAATTCAAATACAAGAAAATGTTTGAATATACTGCCTCAGGGAGTTTTTCAGCCTCCCAGTAGAGATAAAGTGAGTCAACACCTTTAATTCTCTCTGACGTAATTTACCGGAATAGGTTGAATCTTGGTGAAATTAAGACCTTGCAAAACTGACATCCTGGTGTCATTCTGTAACCTGTACCCGCAGCTGGCCCAGCCTTGAACGCGAATGCGGAGGCAAATCAAGTGCAGATGTTTCTTCTTTCTGTTACGATCCCTGGGGGTCCTATATTTTGGGACTTCGGCAACGCTTACTCCACTCCGTGGGATGCTTATTTCTTATATGTCTGGCGATGTTCGCGGAGCTTTGCTCCATGCCACAGATGTCACAGTTGACGCGATTTTCAGGCTCTGGTTTCTGTCTTTTCCAAACACGCACGTTCGTCCTTGGCTCTATCTCTTTGAATACTCGCTGACAACCGGAACAGGCGAACGCCGAGTGCTGTTTTTGGTGTGTTTTCCTTTCGTGTTGTGTCCTGCCTGGCTTGTTGGCACAAATCCTGTCACAACCTTCCCACTGACACCTGAAACCTTGTTTTCTGTATTCAGTCGCAAATTGGGATCTCTTTGGCTTCGGGTCTCTTCCTATCAGCGCCTTCCACCTCTTCCGATCCCGCGCCAGGTTCTTCCGGTTTCACTGACGAGCCTGCGCCAGTATGCAATGGTTCCATTTCGGAGGCAACCTTTGTGTGTAGGTTCTCGATTCCAGTGGTCAAGGACTGTACGCTTCACGATCCTGGAGTTGGGCATGCGCAACCGTGACCGATTCGCTCTAGTGCTTTTTTCTCCATTTTGCACCGCACCGATACAATACCCGGTTCTGTCCTTATCTGGTAGCTATTCGTGTTGGTCTCCTGCATACGTTGCAAGGCGAGTCCGCGCCCCCCCCCCCCATTCCAGATAAACCTGTATGCTTTGTCAACCACACTCTGCAGTTTGTTCATATCTGTGGTTGACTACGGCCGTGCTGCTGAGTCAAACAGCATTTTCGCTTGCACTATCAGCGCTTTGGTCTTTTTCGACGGCGTTGATTTCCACAGCCAGCGCTTTACTTTGAACCAGGGTCAGAGGCCTCGTTTGACTCAAGCGGCTCTATCGTCTTGTTTTCCGATCCTTGTCCCCAGCATTCGGGTTTAATTGGCAGTTTCAGTGGCAAAGCATATGTTCTCCTCTTTTCCGTCATGGCATTTCTCTTCAAACTGTGCTAATGCCAGTTTGACCGCAGTTTTCCTATTTTTCAAATCGGTGTTCCATCCCACTAGGTTTGAGTCCTCCGTTAATAGCGAATCAGTGATGTAGAAATTTTGTTGCGTGCTGCTTCTTGTTCCCTTTCTTGTGTCTTTTGGTGGCAAGTTGCTGCCTGGCCGCCAACTCCATTCCAGCCCGCATTCTTCACCATTTGCCGCTGAAATTTCCTCTCTGTTCCTCTGGGCAATTCTGATTGCTTGCGTGTGGTAGATAGATATTGTATAAGATAGGGGACTTCGCACAACCTTCCATTAGTCCCTGTTGTGGTAGCCACTTCTGGCTAAGCCCCTTTCGGCCTTTCACCTTATAACAAGTGCCTTCATGAAGGTCTCGGATGATTGCCATTACTTTGGGTGTTATCCCAAGTCGTTCCAAGTTCCTCCATAAGAGCGGTATGTTGGTTCTTGCGTAGGCCTTTGTTATGTCTAAGAGAGTGGCCGCGGGGCGTCTCTCATCTGTGGTTTGTTGGCATCCCAAAACCCTTCTTGTCTCCTCGTCCACTCGTAGGATGGTTTGGGTCGCAGCTGCTGTTGAGCGTCCGCTGCGGAACCCATTTTGGTTTTCATCCATTGCGCCAATCTCTTCCGCCCATCTTCTTAATCTCGTAGCAAAAATCCTTGCCTTCATCTGGCTAGCTAACAGGAGGAGACAGACACCGCGGTAATTGTTCAGGCAGTCTTTCGCCCCTTTCTTATACAGGGGAATCATCCGTCCTTCTTAGCATTCAATTGGCCATTTTGCCGGGTCCATTTCCAGGAGATTCATGACGCAAATATAAATGACGCTCTTGGCATTATTGCTGAGACTCTTAATTCCTTCCATGCGGATTCCATCATTCCCTGGGGCACCTCTGTTGATTCTTTCAATCTCTTCGTTGAACTCGGTCGGAGTAATTTCCTCTTCCAAGCGCTTTGCCGCACTCTTTGCTGCCTCGTCGGTTCTTACTTGGGTTTCCACTGCTGCGGCTTCAATTTCCTTCTGGGGACACTTCGTATCTGTGCTTGGACACTTCCATGAAGTGTGAGCGGAATTCATCAGGGCTTGAGCGGAATCCTCAATGGTTTGTGTGTCCCTGGCCCCGATCCTTCCTAAAGTCTGATACAGTTTCTGCGTGTCGCAGGAACTCTCAGCATCTTTTGCCTCTTCCACCACTATTAGCCACCAATCCTCTTCCCAGCTTTTATCCCTCTTGAATTGCCTCCTGGCACTCTTCCGGGCCTCTCCCCACTGTCTGATCGTAGCCTCGCAGTTGGACTCCTCCATCTTCCGCGTCAGCTTGCAGATGCGCCTCTTGTGTGTCTCGAGTTCGTCGATCCAAGGACTCAATCCCAGCTTTTGTCTTGTGCCACATATTTCTTTGGCTGTGCTAGACACAAAAGCTGTCAGTCTTCCAATCAACTTCGCCCTGTTGGTTGTGTAGTTTCTGGTCAACCTTGGATTCATACTGATTCCTCGGTCCAGGTTCCCTGAGCATGTCCCAGTTTATAACAGCCCGCGGTTTGGTTTTCCTGGTACTCTCTACACCCTTTTGCAGATTACACAAAAGGCTTTGAGGCTCATGATCCGACAGGTTGCGCCTCGTGTTGACTGTGTGCACACCCCTGACGATGCAGCTTCTCTGCGGTTGTTTCATGGCAAACCCATCTATTTCGTGCCATGACTTGTATGCCGGATTTCTCCAGGTGCCTCGGTTGCTGTGCCGGAAAAAGCTGTTAACCCAACATAACTGATGCTCATGACATTAATCTTAATCGGTCAGGTCTCTCCCCGCTGCATTTGTCTTTCCAAGGCCGAAATAGCTCGCCGCTTCAATGGCCCGCCGATAAGATTTTTATCGGCTTAGAGTGACCTAATTTCGATTCGTTTCACTTCTCATTCGTCTCACTTCTGAATCGCACAAAATGATAAAAACCTTAATAGAAATTCTGCTTCAAGTTTTTCATGACAACTGCTTTTTTCAGCTTTTTTGTGCTTTTTTTCCTTTTCTTTCGGCGTGATAGGGTTTGGCCTATATCGTATCGGTTTAATGGCCATATTGCGTCTTTCGACGAGCGGAAAAAGCTTATGTGTGCGTGTCTGTGTTTTGAGGTTGAGGGAGAGTCTTGTTTATTATTTTCGGCTTAAAGGGTTTCTGCCAAGGTTTTTTTCGGCTTTGTTACAATTTGGTAAATTTTCTTCGATGCGTGTTTTTTTATTTGAAAACTAGCCTTGATTTGTTATTGATCTAGGTTTTTTGATATTTTCTAATTTTTTATACTTTTTTTCTGACTTGTTTTATTTCGCAAGTGGTGCGAAGCTCAGCTTCGCCTCTGTGTTAAGTTTTATGATTTCGATTTTTTAAATTCAGTTTCTAAATATAAGGCAGCTCTCAGCAAAATCAAACGTGCGAAGGGCGCTTTGAATGTGGAAATGACTTGAGTTCAAAAATTGATTTAAATTAAAGATTTATAGCAGATTTTAAAATTTGCCTAATGTTTTCTGAAATTGTGTTAGTTTCATCCAAAACTTGTCAACTAAAGGATTTTTGAAAGCCTAAGAGCGTGTTATTTTTTTTTAATTTTTGAAATTTCAGGAAGCAGAAAAAAGTCTGATCTTTTCCTGAGCTCGTTAACACTTGTTGGCCAAATAACACCTGTTGGTTAGTTTCTCGAATATTATGAGCATTTTTCACTGTTAGTGCATGTGTTTGCGAAACGCAGCTTCACTTTAATAGAAAACTTGAATCATATGTGATTGAATTCAAAGTTGACATTATCAGGTACCGCCAGCTCAACTAGAGAGTATTTTATTGACTCATCCTGCAATCCAGGAATGCGCAGTGGTTGGCAAACCAGACGACAGGGCAGGGGAACTGCCTAAGGCATATGTGATGCTACGACAAGGTCACGTGACCAGTGCCCTCGAGATCCAACAGTATCTTGCGGAAAAGGTGGCGCCATATAAGAGGCTCTCGGGTGGAGTCGAGTTCGTCTCTGAGATTCCAAAGACAGCCAGTGGAAAGATCCTGAGACGAGTGCTGAAACAAAAGGAACTTGAGGCTAGCAAGACTAAATAACACGACAAGAAATTCAATATGAATGAACGATAAATCATGAAATTATTGTTTTCATATTCACTCGCATTAATATTTAATTAAAGCTAATTAAGAGTAATGAACGTAGTGAGAACTCTTATGTAGGTCTAGCTGTTTTTTTTTGTTTTATTTTTCAGAAAGAAGTCTTAAAATTTGTTCACGCTCGATTTTCATTTTTCTCGGTTTGTCTTGTGATTTCTTTTTAAGTTCAGTGCATTAAAAGGAAGGCAAACACCACTATCGAACAGCAAAATTGTAAAGGTCGCCAAAAACGTGATTGGCTTCTAGTTTCGAAAGTCGAATTTAATTTTCAAGATTTTCCAGCGAAGTAAAAAAGTTATAATGGTTCAGTTTTTTCAAATTAGTTTATTTAGGTTATTCTCAATAATGAATTGATCTAAGCCATCAACGTTTTTTAAGGCTATCTATTTTTTTTCTTTTAAATCAGAAAGCTGAGACTTTTTTTGTTTTTCGTTTATTGACTCTTTCCCAGCTGTCTGTTCGCTAGGTGCTTTGTACTTTTCTCCAGGCGAAAGTTTGGAAAGTCAATGCACAATGGAAAGACATTTATTCCGGTCCTCTGTTTTTTGTGCGTTTTTAGGAACCTTTTCAAGCTTATTTTAGGAGTGATGAGCGTGGTGAATAGTCTTATATAGGTCTTGGTGATTTTTTAAACATTTTTCTTGGTTTGAATTTTGATTTGGTTTCAAGTTCATTTAGTTTCTCAAGTTGAAAAGAAGTCAAACTTCACAATCGAACAGAAAAATGTAAGGCCACGAAAAACGTGATTGACTTCTAGTTTGGAACGTGAATTTAACTTGCAGATTTCCCAGCTGAATAAAAAAATATCTAGTGATCCATTTTTCTCAATTGGGTTAATTTTATCAAAGAATTGTCAATCGTAAACTGTTCAAAGAGCTTTAAGTAAGGCCATTTATTCAGGCTCTTATATAGGTCGCGATGACTTTATTTTTCTTTTTTTTTTTCAGAAGAAGTCTTAAAACTTGTTCAGATTCAAATTTTTCTTTATCGGCGGTTTGACTTCTGATTCCTTGTTAAGTTCAGTTCAATTCCTTTGTTAAAACGACGGCAAACTCCATTATCGAACAGCAAAAGTTCAAAAGGAAAAAGTGATCGACTGGTAGTTTCGAAAGTCGAATTTAATTATCAGATTTACCAGTAAAAAATTTTTACCTCTTTATCCAGTTTTCTCAAATTGGTTTGACCTTGGTTTTGAAAAAAATTGGTTATGAAAATTGTTGATAATTGCTATGGATTAGTGTATTTCATTTCATTAAGTTTGATTTTTAATTCCGTTTTGAGTTCAAATGCTAAAAGGAAGGCAAGTAATGGAAAATGTGAGAAAAAAAACGTGAACGTCTGTTGGCTGTGTTCTCTTGATCCAGGATTCTCCAATTTGGTTAGAATTATCGAAGAATGGTAAATAATCAAAGTCTTCAGTTGATATAATCAGCTAGCGTTCCAGAGTTGAAGAAGTTGAGCAGTATTTGTTTTCCTTGTTCTTCAAGTTGACTGTTTATCTCTAGTTTGCAGACTGCAAAATTGTATAAATTTTTTTTATATCAAGTCTTTTCTATCCTTAAGTGATATTGAAAATCACCATGGTGATACGGAAGGGTATTGCAATCAGGTGATGGAATTTTTTCCCGTAAATAACTTGTTTCACTGGATGTTTCAAACTGTGGCGATCTCCATCTCTACTTTCGTCAACGAGAAGACAGTTGAGTGTTTGCGCATGTCTGCATTTTAAATGACCACTCTATTCTAATTTTTTGTTGGTTGTAGATTAACCTATCCCAATTTTAGTATCACTTTTTAAGACTTTTGTATAGTAATTTTTCGCGGTTTAATTTATGATTTCGTTTTAAGTTCTGTTCATTTCCTATGTTAAAATGAAGGAAACTCCGCTATCAAACAGCAAAGTTGTAAAGGTCACAAAAAACTTGATCGACTGTTTCGAATTCGATTTTTTTTGACTTCCCAGCGAATTTTAAAAAAATATTTATTGGGATCAAATTCAGTTAATTTTAGCAAAAATGTCAATCATAAAGTGTTCATGAAATTCAAAGGGCTTTAAGGCCATCTAATGTGTTCTTTGAAATTTTGAAACAGAGATTTTTTTTGTTTTTCGTTCATTGACTATTTTACAACTGTATGTTGGCTATTTTTTTATTTTGATTTTTCTTTGTTCGGCTTTAAACGTTCCTACTCTTAATATATCGGTTTTTGGACATTTGGACTGTTTTTGTAAGATATTTTGACTTTTTTGTTAGACTTTTTCACAGTGAAGTGTGACTGGACTTTTTGACTGTTTTTGTCAGCCTCTTTTTGAGTCATTTGCAAAGTGTTTTTTCAACGCTTGTCATATTTTTGTCGGTTAGTTTATCATGCTACGTATGGTGGTTATGGCAAGTAGTGCGATGGTTCGCTTCGCCTATTTTTCTATTGTTCCTAAAGGTGCAGGTAATTCAGTTTTAATGTATCGGTTTTTTGCAAGTCTTATAATTTAATGCGATTTAGTTCTATTTATTTTCTTTTTCTTTGAGACATCGATTAACTTTCCGCAAAAAGTTTTGTTCTGCTTATCTCTAAAAATTGGTACCAATGGAGAGACCGGCATCTCTCCTACGTGCTCGTATACTCCGCTAGTTTCTTTTAGCCTTACACTACGCTCAACGGCCTTTTTTTAGCCGTAGATGAAAAGTTAAAGCCTTTTTGCGATTATTTGATATTGACCTTCTGACCGTTTTTGTGAAAGTTTTGGTTTTCCTCGAAAACTTCCCTCCCAAATCTTGGATTAATGGTTCTACCGAAATTTTTTCACGTCCAAGCGGTTGTGCCCTAATTTTGTCGAAAAAGTTAGGGACAATTTTTGACTGTAGTTGTCTGTTTTCCATCTTTTTTAAACCCGGAGCGCTATGAGGCCTTGTTACAAATTATTCATAATCATTTCATCATATTTCATCGCACGTCCCGTTATCGATCATTGCGTTTTACCTTCGAGTCATAACAAGCTTTAGCTGTGCGATTAGTGGATTAAGTCTTGAGCATGAAGCCGGTTGTTTGCGTCCTGCATTTTTCTGTGAGATTAGTAGATTAAGTCATGAGCATGAAACCGGTTGCTAGCGTCTTGCCGTTTGAAAAATTATTTTCAATACACGGACAAGTAACTATTCTCTGTAAACATCTAGAGAAGCGTTAAAATCTGGAGAAAAAAATCAAAACCGAGTTCCCACTTACCCCTAATTTTTACAATTTGCCGATTCATAACCTAATCAGCTGGCTGTGCTTTGTTTTGAGCGCGACAGCTAAGGTAAAGATCCATTACGACTTTTGCTTTCCTTTTCCCATCTCATTACATCCGCTTACCCAACCTGCGGCTAATCTACTTGAATTTATCAATCACTCAACGAAATTGAACGCAGTGTTTGGACAGAAATTGGATATTATGGAAAGATGGATTGGATTCTACAAGAAAGAACCAATATTTTCAGAAAAAAAGCTCGCTCTGTCAAGAAAGTCATGTTCCTCAATTGAATAGCGCAAAAAACCTGATTTAGAAAGCGCAAAGAGCACCGTATTTGTAACACGAAAAAGCAGTCGTAATATGCCTTTAAGCTGTATGCACCATTATTTTATACCACATATTTCTTTTAAGCTGTAGATAGCAATTCTAACTTTAATCTTTTAAAATGGTTGGTTGTAAGATAGAAGGCAGAATCAACGCTAAAACAAACCAAAAAAAGTGTAGTAGTAATGATTGGGATAACTCGAGGTTTTGTTGTTACTTATTTCAGATAAGATGGGACGCCGCCCAGCCCGTTGCTACCGCTATTGTAAAAATAAGCCCTATCCGAAGTCTCGTTTCTGTCGAGGTGTACCTGACCCCAAGATCAGAATCTACGACATCGGACGCAAGAGGGCAGGAGTTGATGAATTTCCATGCTGTGTGCATCTGATCTCGAATGAGTTGGAACAGCTGTCAGGCGAGGCGTTGGAAGCCGCTCGAATTTGTGCCAACAAGTACATGGTTAAAAACTGTGGCAAAGACGCTTTCCACATGCGAGTTAGAGTGCACCCTTTCCACGTCGTCAGGATAAATAAAATGTTGAGTTGTGCTGGCGCTGATCGGCTGCAAACTGGGATGCGAGGAGCATTCGGCAAACCGCAAGGAACTGTTGCCAGAGTTCGCATTGGTCAGCCGATTTTGTCAATGAGAGTTAAAGATAATCAGAAGGCTTCAGCTATAGAAGCCCTGAGGCGAGCAAAGTTCAAGTTCCCTGGACGACAGAAGATTCTTATTTCATCCAAGTGGGGATTCACTAAATGGGAGAGAGACGAGTACCCCCAGATGCGGCAAGATGGCATCCTGAAGGCCGATGGGTCCGGGGTTCAGTACAGCCGAAAGATGTTCAGAGCTGCTCAGCATTCCATCAAGCTGGCAGCAGCTGCTGAAAACGCCGCTGAGTAGCAAGTACACTGATCTGCGCCTCTCTGAAATTGTGATTTTCCTTGTCATCTCATAAGTTCAACTTTTCATCTCCTTGACTGCTTGAATTTACTGACGTTTTAATAAATTCACAATTTCACTTTCAACATTCTTTTTGATGGACAGCTAGAACAAATGGGGTTGCATCAAAATGCAAGCTAGATTAAGGTTGCATCTTTGTAAGTTCAAAAAAAATGAAATAATTGAAAAACTATTTGAAAAAAAAATCTATTGTATATTTAAATGCGGGCTTTACTATTTCGCCATGTTTAAGCTTTTTCAACGTATTATTTTTACATGTTTAACGAAAGAATTTCTGCACGTTTAAGCTATATCGTATATTTTTTTCGACTTTTAATTTTAAAATTTTGTTCATTTCACACCCAAAAGGAGTTTAAATTAAAACACCCAAAAGTGTGATGAGGTCAGGGCTGTGTCATTTATGAATGATCAAATCTTTTAAGTTTACAAGATACGGCGATTTTTTGTGATTTTTCAGAAAACTCAAATTAAAGTAATTCACAAAATTTGAAATTCCCATCCCTGTAGTACTCTCAGTACTCTCAAGGATTGGAATTCTTGCCTCCAAATCCGACTGCTCAAATCCTTGTAGTTTTCGATATATGACGTTTTTTGTGATTTTTTTGAAAATTTTTCAGAAATCTTAAATTATTTTTTTTTCAAAATTTGAAATTCTCAACTCTGTACTTGAGGGCTGTTAGAGTACTCTCAAAGATCGCGAATCTTGCCTCTAAATATAACTGCTCAAATCCTTATAGTTTTCGAGATATGACTTTTTTGTGATTTTTCTCAAAGTTTTTCCAATAAAACAGACTAAAAAAATTCACTAGAACTTTAAAGATCTCAATTATGTTGTTGGAATCTGTGAGAGTACTCTGAGGGTTGCAAATCTTGTCTCTGAATATGAGTACTCAAATCCTTGTAGTTTTCCAGATAAGACATTTTTTGTGATTTTTTAAAAAGTTTTTCAGAAATCTTAAATTAATTTTTTTTCAAAGTTTGAAATTCCCAACGCTGTACATGAGGGCTGTCAGATAATCTCAAGGATCGAGAATCTTGCCTCTAAATGTAACTGCTCAGTTTCTTATAGTTTTCGAGATTTTTCGCAGTTTTTCAGAAAATCTATTTTTTTTCAAAATTTGAAATTCCCAGCCCTCTAGTTGGGTGTTCTCAGGGTACTGCTAGAGGTTGCGAATCTTGCTTCCAAATATGACTGCTGAAATCATTGGAGTTTTCGAGATACGACATTTTTTTGTGAGATTTTGAAAAGTTTTCTGAAATTTTTTTTCAAAATTTGAAATTCCTAACCCTGCAATTGGAGCTATAGATTACTTTCAGGGGTTGCGAATCTTTCCTCCACTTATAACTGCTCATAGCTTTGTTGTTTTTGAAATATGTCGTTGTTTTATGCTTTTTTCAAATTTTTAAGTAAACTTAGATTAAATAAATTTCTCAAATTTTTAAAATTGCTACCGCTTAAAATATGGCTTCTCAAATATATGTAATTTTCGAGATTTGATTTTTATAGTGTTTTTATTAGAAAATTATCGGAAAACAAATTCAAAAAGTTTCACAAAATATGAAGTTCTCAACTGTGTCGTTAGGTACTGTGAGGGTACTCCTAACTTTGAAACTCCTAACTTGACGAAGGGACAAACTTGTTATTTTTTCAATTTTTTTTTCGGGAAACTTAGATTTGAAAAAATTCACGAAATTTGAAAGTCCCAGCCCTATAGTAGGCTGCTCTCAGATTACTCTCAGTGGTTGCAAATCTGGCCTATAAATATCTTCAGGGCCCTTTAAATTTTCGAGATATGGCACTTTTTGAAATTTCAAAATTAGACTTAAAAAAACTATAAAATTTGAAATTACCAACCCTTAATTGCGTGCTGTCAGAGTACGCTAAAAGGCTGCAGATCTTGTTTCCAAAATGTGCGGTTTTTTATGAGGTGTCAAAAATTTGAAGCATTTACACGCTAGTTTATTTGAGCTGTGTGTTGCTTGAAAGTTAATGCTATGAGAATCATGCATAAATGAAACATGCTCTGCACCAGGGGCGGTTTTAGGGGGGGGGGGGGGGGGGGGGGGGACGCCCCTTCTTAGGGATTCGAACCCCTGCCAACCCAAAGGGTCCCCCCTTTGGTACTATTTAAGAAATTCATTTTTGGCCGAGCGACACTTAAATTTTTCGAAAGGCGCATTGGGCGCCAATACATACTAATTTTGAGGGGGAGCGCGCGCCAAAAAAAACTCGTTTTTTGTCAAAATTTTCCAAAAAGTGCCCTAAAACGGCTTTTTTGACCTGTTTTTTCGAAATATTGCCGGCGGTGCAGAAAATTTGGCCAAAACAGGGTCTTTTTACTGCTTTGGGAGAGCTCGGAAAATCAATTTGATCGACCTAAAAAAAAGGTCGTCAAATTTTTCGAATTTTTTTTGAAAATCCACCCCCCCTCGAGAAAATCCTAGATCCGCCCCTGCTCTGCACTACTTAATTGTCAGGACCCCTTCAATGCAAATCGACTTCTTCATAGACCCCTTAGAATATTGGCCCCTCCAAATTTTTTAGGGGATTTGAAATGAAACTCACTGGAATTTCTTTTACCATAAAATTTATAGCCAAAGTTGAGAAAAGTTGCGGGAACCCCCTGTTTTTTTTGGAAACCTCCGCAATGAAACAAGCGTTTTTGGTTCAAAAACATCCAGGCCACCACCCCTTCACTTGTCATCCCGTTTTTTTTACCACCCGCGAATTACTTAATGCAAGGTAATGAGAAATGGGTGTAGAAAAGATGAAGTATTAATTATCCCATGTTTTTTCGATTATGTCTTAGCCAGCAAACTGTTGTGACTAAATGAATGTCTGATTTTTTTTCAGTTTTGTTGTTCTCCTAAAAGGTTTATTGGGCTTAAACGGATTTCGATTATAAGATATCGCTTAATTTCCTTTTATTGCGGTGTTTATGAGAGAAAAAATATTTATATGCTTTTGCGTTTCAAAAGGAGGCTGTAAAACTTCTCTTTCAGAAGAAGGAGTTACGGAATTTACTGGCTCCTTTTTCTATTTTCTATAGCTTTTTTGTTTCCGTCTCAACGGTCATCTGCAAAAAGAATGTGGGCTTAGTTTCCAATCGGAAGTTTTTTGAATGCTACGCTAATTTAACGCTGTCCAATGCTTTTCTGTACATTTCCAAATTGAACGTTTTCGAGACAAACTTGATGGCTCTTGTCTTGTTTTTTTTTCGGCTAGCCGTAATTTTTTGTTTTATCCCATGTAGTGCGAAGCTCAGTTTTTTTCCTATTTTGATTCTGTGTTATTTAAATAAATAGCTTTTATTGGAAAAAATCATCGGGAAATTAAAGGAGAAATGATCAGAATTTTAAAAAATTAGTCAGTTAAAGGTTATTGTACTCATAGAGTAATTTCAGATAAGGTACACCGTCTGTTCGTCATGATATCTTATTTTCGGCCGAATAGATTCGTGCAACTCTTTAGTCTAATACCAATCTTAATCTTGCTCTAATATCTCCCAGTCTCAATAGATCTAGTGTATACTGGTATTTGCGAGGTTAGATATCAGGAACTGTTCTGGAGAAGAGCAACTGTTTGCTAATTGAAATTTATTTATATTGTTCTGGCTGAAACTATAAATAGTTTCAGCCTTACAAACTACTGTAAGTTTTAGTATGGACCATGATTGGTTAGTGAGAAAAATTTTATAGAGATAGTTTTATCTATAATATAATTGAATATAAGTACTATTTTTAAAGTGGTTCCCCTCATCCGGGGCTTAGAAAGTTTTTAATGTTTGTTGTTTTGAAGGATAGATGGAGAAGTTCCTTGATTCTTGGAGTAGATTCTTTTGAAGCAGTGGTTGCGTGAATGAAGAAAAAGAAAAGTTGCTCGTGTTATGGAGTAGTTGTCTTCATAGAGAAAGAAAAGTTACAGTTGCTTGTACTTCAGGACTGAGTCTCGTGTATCCAGATCATGTTGGGTGGTCGTGTCAAGTTTTCAGATATCTGCAATGATGTGTTGATTTCGTTAAGTTAAACTTTTCATCGAGTAGTGATATAGAGTTTGACTTCTCTGTGTGAAGCGCCAAGTGAATAGTATTCGTATGTGAGTTTAACATCGAGTTGGCCATTGTTCTTCTTCAATAGGTACCTTTTGCTGCAATGTTGGTTCCATACTTTAAATCCTGTGAGAGTTGTAACTACGGCAACAAACTAAAAGATTTGCGATTCCAGAGTCGGAATGTCATCGAGTTTCATCTCCCTTTGCTGCTCGTTCCTTTTGCTCCAAGAAATTGTACATTGTATTTTTATATCTGAATATTGCTAGTGAGATTAGTTTTAGTTATAATTTTTATTAGTTTTCGAAAAAGCGTTTTATTAGTTTCGTTAATTTTAAGAGTTGCTCAACCTAGAGCTACTCATAGCGAAAATTGAGGGCCGGGATCTTAGCACATGGTGGGCACATGTACTTCGACCGACGTTGTTTTGGTGGGTGAGGCCAGAGGAGTATAATTTTTACAGTCTCTGAGCAGTCTCTTTTCGTAATCAACCTTTTGTATACTTCTGTGCTACTTGCACAATAACAGGCTAGCCTTGTTATCAGCAATTTCCGGCTAACGAAAAACTGAAGCCTATTCCAGCTTACGGTTCGGGCTTACATGACATTGAAAACTTTTCTTTCGTTTCTGTTAGAAACTTTTATATTTTTGTTTTCATTTAATTGCATTTTGAGTCTGCTAATTACCCTTCCGATAAGCATGGGTATTGCAACCGTGTGCTGAACTTTATTCGGGTATAGACATTTTTCGCAGGATGACTGAAATTTGTGGGTATCTTCTGCTATTGAGCTGCTATTGCTCGTGTTCTCGCTAGTGTTTGCGAAGCGCAGCTTTGCCTTTGTGTTCAAAATTGGTGATTTTTTTGCGTAGTGATAGATAATCATCGTGTACATGGTATGTTTTAAAAATTTTCCAATTTTGTTTTCTGTACTGGGCGACATCAAAAAATAAGCAAAATCAAATCGAAATTGAAAATGCTCGATTTCTTGAAATAACGCAGTTGAAGCTATTGTGAC